CGTCGTCGGGGGTGGAGTTGACGGGTAGAGAGAAACGTCTTAGGGACATCCAGAATGCCCTCAACAACAGATCTACTCCCGCCGTTGCCCAGCCATTCGCTAAACCCAAACGGACCAGCGACACTGAGTATCCTGACGCGTCGGACTCCCTCCCACCGACAAAGAAACACAGACAGCTCCCCCCAGGATACAGGGATGACGACCCCATCACCCATGCCACCAACTTTTCCTCTGGCTCCCGTACTGCAATGAACAAATCCACCTACACAGCCCCGCCACCGTCTAGAAAAGTGGCTAAAATGTTTTTGAGCTCGGAGCAGAAGGAGATCCTCAAACTGGTGGAAGACGGCCAAAGCGTGTTTTACACTGGCAGTGCGGGTGAGTAATCGCGCATAGATTCATAGTTTTACGACGTTGATGGCATTGGCCTCCAGGAACGGGAAAATCCGTCCTTCTTCGTGAAATAATCAAGGCGTTGAGGAAGAAACATAGCAAGGCGAATGACGCTGTCGCCATTACTGCCTCTACGGGCGAGTCTCCGTCTAGCCGCATTTGCTTTTTTTCTGACGCGTGCGAGTAGGCATTGCCGCTTGTAATATCGGTGGCATCACAATCCACTCGTTCGCTGGGATTGGACTGGGCATCGAAAGCCCCGAGGTTCTCACCCAGAAGATCCGCAAGAACAAGAAATCGAGCACGAGATGGGTGAGGACGAAAGTTCTCATCGTCGATGAAGGTCAGTGCCTTACCCTCCTCACGTACACTTGCTAATCTCGGCGCAGTGTCTATGCTTGACGGGGACCTGTTCGATAAACTGTCGCGGATTGGCAGCCTACTGAGAAAAGACCCGCGGCCGTTCGGTGGAATCCAGGTTCGCCATCTTTCTTTCCGTATCGGATGAATGTTGAGCTCCTCTCCCTCTGTAGCTCATCGTCACGGGCGACTTCTTCCAGCTCCCGCCTGTGACAAAGGGCACGGCCGTAAAGTTTGCGTTTGAAGCCGAGTACTGGAGCCAAACTATCAAACGGACTTTTAACCTGACGCAAGTGTTCCGACAAAGTGATCAAGGTGCATAACCAGCCGACTAGACGTTTCCCCTTCTCACATCTCCTGTACAGAATTTGTGGATATGCTAAACGAGATGCGGTTCGGCCGGTTGACCAAGAAATCCATCGACAAGTTCCGCTCCTTGTCAAGGCCAATCGAGTACGCCGACGGCCTCGGTCCCACAGAGCTGTAGGTTGTTCGTTTTTTCTACTATTAACATGCTTATTCGGCTTGCGATATCCAGGTTTCCCCGTCGGGAGGATGTCGATCGCTCCAACTCAGGTCGTATGAACCGTCTCACGAGTAAAGTCGAGACCTTCAAAGCATCAGACGGCGGTGTTATCCAGGACCTTGCACAGCGGGAAAAGCTGCTCGCAAACTTCATGGCAGTGCAAACACTTTGCTTGCGTCAGGATGCCCAGGCAAGCCCTCAGTTTCGTTGTGTCTCAACTGCTGACGGTAGTGCAGGTGATGTTGATCAAGAACATGGACGATACCCTCGTCAACGGCAGCATGGGCCGCGTTGTCCGGTTTGTAGAGCAGTCGGTGTACGGCACTGAACGCGATGTCGAAGCGGACGGCGTTCCGGCCGAATTCCTCAGCAGCGTCACCCCTGGCCTCGGCAAGAAGCCCACCTCTAGCGCCCCCGGCATCCTCTATCCCGTCGTAGAGTTTGCGCTCCCGAACGGTGGCAAGCGGACGTTGCTGGTCACGCCCGAACCTTTCAAGGTCGAGCTTCCATCGGGAGAGATACAAGCCAGTAGGACCCAGGTGCGTTTCGGTTGTCGGCTCGCGGATCGTCTTGTCTAAATTCTGTTTGTCTGCGCAGCTCCCCTTGATTCTTGCTTGGGCCATGAGCATCCACAAGTCGCAGGGGCAAACGCTGGAGCGCGTTAAAGTCGATTTGGGCAAGGTTTTCGAAAAGGGTACGTGTTTCGCTCCGCCTATAATCCTTTCCGGTATTGATCATGGATCGCTTGCGTGCAGGTCAAGCGTATGTGGCCCTCTCGCGTGCGACCTCCCTCGCGGGCCTCCAAGTCCTCAACTTCGACCAGAGTAAAGTACGCTCGCCCTTCCTCTCCGTCGTTACCTTGTGGCAGCTGATGCCGTTCGTCTCGCAGGTTCAGGCCCATCCTAAGGTTGCGGCATGGAGTAAGACGTTGGAGAGCGTGGCGGAGCAGGAATAGATACGCGAACAGGCTGGGATCCGGGATGCTTGTAAACATTGCTCGATGCTCATTACACTGGTCCTAGCAGAATAACTTATTGTACTTAAGCTGAATTTCAGCCCATTTGGTGCTCATCCAGATGGTTTATCAGACTTGGATTGCGACGGAATTCACTCTATCTTCGAAGCCCCGTTCTGCATGACGCTACTTGAAGGATAACCTGACGCCCAAGAACCTTGCTAATTAATCCAGGATCATCAGTTTATGGTGATACTTGGAGGCCGTGGCTGCTTCGTTCACCGCCACACTGACACCGACTGCGAACACCGCGACTGCCTTTTCTCTGGTGTCGCTGACTCCAGTGTAACCGCTGAAGATGCCCAGCTGGGAGATGAGTTTATTGGACTGACCTTCGAGTGAGAGCAGCGAAGACGCGTGGCCGGTAACGAGTAAGTCTTTCAAGTCTTTTTCTCTTGATCATTCTGTTCTCTTGCTTTGAAAATGCATCGAAATGTGTACTTAGGCTCGTTTCAGCCTCTCTAGTCTACCGGGCGTGATACCTGAAGACAGTCGTTCAGAATCACGTATACTAGAGAGGCTGGAACTTACGAATACAGGCGAACACGAGTCGCCTCGGAGTTTGAAATTGAAACGCCTTGGCAACCGCTTAACGATCAGCTCCATCAATTATCGCCCAAAAAAACCTCCAAAAGAAATGCTCAGAGCTCCTTCATTACCTGCGATAAAATCCACGAAAAAAATATGAGCGCCTCATATTGATCGAAATTTGTATCTACAAAAAGAACGGCTTCAGTGGGAGCTTTGGAAGGTGCAGAGGACATGCCATCATAATTTTCAAACTCCGAGGCGACTCGCACTAAGCTGTACTCGTAGATCCTAGCCTATACTATCCGAGTTTGTCTGAGACATCAAAATGCTGTACCTCCGATCCTGCCACTTTTGCGACCACTCCTTAGGTCTTTCGGACTCGCTTTATCCACAGCAAACAATAGCCCGTGGACCTATTCTGAGTCGTATTCACCCGCTGGTCCTTACTCATACTCGCTCATGCTTCGTCAGCCCCCTAAATGCTTACTAAAGAGGGTAATGCCAGTTCAAGCGACTCTGCAACTGTGGCCCAAATATCAAGATAAATGCAAATACTTTCGACCGTCTGGAACTCGTAGTATCTTGAAAGACGCCTCAGTAACTAAACGTTCGTGCTTGGTTCATCGGCTGAACGTCTCTACTCCTCTCGCTTTGTGGGAAAAAAAAAAAAAAAAAAAACCTCTGCATCGAAATGTCGACCCACACTGCAATTGCAGCCCTCGAAAAGGGCCAGTTTGATGCTATCGAGGTCGAGACAGAGAAACCCAGCGCGGGCCAAGTTCTCATTAAAGTCGCCTACGCCTCGATGGTCGCGTTCGACACGTACGTTACGGATGTCGGGTTCGCCGTTGTGCAGTTTCCAGTTATCTTGGGGTTCAACGCGTCTGGGACCATAGCGGAGGTCGGTGCGGGCGTCATTGGGCTCGCAGTCGGGGATCGGGTGCGCACAAAGAAATGGCCAAGACTGTGTACCCAGCTTGACGATGTTGCGTTGCAGGTTACTGGGTTCGCCCTCTTCGGCCAAGGCAGGAAGGACGGCTTCAAGGGGGCGATGCAGGAGTTTGTCGTGCTGCCCGATTACTTATGGGCAAAGATGCGTATGTCCGAGAGTCAATTTTACTCACTTTACCGAGTTTTCTGCGCTAGATCCACGATAGTCTCGCCCTGGACGCCGCCGCCATGGTTCCGGACAACTGCGTCACAACCTTCTACGCCCTGTTTGACCAGGTTAACTTGCCCATCCGCGTCTTCGACCACGCGAGGCCGACATCGAGCGCGACGGCAAGGTCGCACTCGCGCTCGACTTGATCACGGCGATGGGCACAATGCAACACGATGGCGAAGATTGTGCAAGTGATCAGCCCACAGGGGACCGTCGCGCTCCTGCTGCCGATCAAGCCGGGCGACATGGTGGCCGTCGGAGACACGCAGATGCACTCTGCGATCCCGGAGGGGCAGAACCTGTTCCCATCGCAAACAAAGATTGCGGACGTTCCATTATTGTGAGGTGCGTCGAATCGCTTTTTCGTGTGGAGGTGTTTTTTAAATTCGAATGGCTTATAGAATGAGTACTTGAAGGACAACCTGATGCCCAGGAGCGCGTCACGGTGGGCTTGAATCTGCTTAGAAACAACAAGGTCAGCGGGGAGAAAGTTATCGTCAAGGTGGATTAGAGATTATGTGGGCTGTTTTGATGTACGCACGCAAGTAATCCTATCCACGAAAAAGCGGCTCACACTTCCGAGGACATGACCGGGAAATCCTCCAAGTCTCCTTTTATGTTTTTGCCCACATACAGTATACGGGGAGCGAAAAGGAATTTGATCCACTGTCGTCTCCGAGGCGGGTACAACATTAACGGAGAACCAGCTACTGAGATAGTTTTTGGCGATGGGTTTCTCGACTTTTTGCGGTTTTCTTTCTTGCTCGCTTCTTCCACACGTACCATACCTGCTCCTCGTTGGGCACACACTGCTACTATGGGTGTTTTGCAAACCTCACGTTGCATTCGGGCTGCTCTATGATATGATTATTGGTGTTCGCTCACTCATAACCAGAGCTGTGAACGTGTGAATAAAATTCAGAAGAAAAAAACCAGCACAGCCTATATTGCAGGAGATTGCGTACTGTGCTTCTCGCGAACGCGGGGCGAGAGCCCGGTGCCCGGATCCATAGTGCCACCAGGAGGATTCGAACCTCCGATCTCCCGACGCGATGAGAACTGAAGGTGTCGGGCAGTTCTACCACTGAACTAGTGTGCGCGATGGCACCTGGATTTCGGTAGTACATTTATGATTTAGCGAGTGCGCCAGCAAAGCTAAGATCGGATAGACACATTGTATAGACAAGGCAGCAAAATTCTGGAGCCATGGGCTCGTCAGCTGCGTTGAAGGATGGTACTAGCACTCAGCCAGCAGATGGTCAGAGATGGTTTGGTTCAAGCCTTCTGGGCCGCCATCAGATCATCAATTTTGCTCCCATGAAGTATTGACATGTGTTGACGTGTTCAGGTTGGTACCCATCTATTACTATCTTTTTCCTCTTTCTCATCCCACCCCAACTATTCTCACTTCGTCGCACCATGTAAGATCACAAACACAAGAGTCAAATTTTTAGGTTCGTCGTACCCCTTCTTCACTGAGTTTCGATCCTGTTCTTGAAGTACGAAGGTTCCAATATATAAACAGCGACAGAGATGTCCCTGTTATCGAGGGTGCAATATGTGCCTTTTCTGAAGTCACCTATCAGCGGGACGGCACACGGGCTGCCATGAGGGCTAATATCCTAACCCATGTCACAAAATTGCTGGAATCAAGTACCTCCGGAGTCTTGCTATACGTGCCGGACTGTGGGTCTTCTGGCTGTCCATGAACGTTCAGCTGTTTTGGCTGTGAATCTTTGTGTGCGGCTTGTGACCATGCTTCGGTGAGTTTCCATTGTGTTCCTAAAATTGGAAGGTGAGTTCATGCAGCCGCTGGTGGCTGATATGATCCGAGATGACGTCCAGGTATGGCAGCTGAGGTTGTGCGAAAATTTTCAGCAGTCTGAACAAGCGGAAACTTCGTTCATGGGTGGTCAAAGTCGATACCGTTTTCGGAATCTTTTTTTTCCGTTCCAGACTGTCTCCGTCTGATTCAGTTTGCTCCTGTTCCAATTCCACTCTAATTTTGGGTGTGAGCAGCAACAAATGTAGGATGAACAGTTTGGAGGGGCAGGAAAGTATGCTATGGGCAGTATATGCTACATGGATTATTTGACCAACATGAACTAGTATTTTTCACGATTTAATTCTGAGCCAACGAAGACTGAACTATTCTGAAAGCGAATTGACGAAATTCAACCAGACACGTGATCAGGTCAAATTCTTAAATTTCTTCAGCTAGTTCCCCAAATTCTTGTATAATAGTGTATTGTAATTTCGCTGTATGAACCTTCAAATTCTCCTGTTCCACTAGACTGATAACCATCCACCGACAGTTTCTCGTAGACAGATTGGTTACCAGTCTATCCTTCAGTTCGTTACGCGACCGCCGACGAGCCACTTGAATGATATCTAGACCGTCGTGAAGCGATATTAAGGACATGGAACGAAAACATAAAGATATTTTCTTGGAGGTTTTCGGTGTTGATTTACGCCCGGTTATGCTGTTGGACGTCCAACGATAACGGCCATCACGTCATCTAGTAGTATCATGATAGTATGAACACCGAGTATATATCCTCCAATCGACCCGGAGTTTCACCATTAGATCGTCCTGCGGGAGAACTACAAATTGGCTAAGAAACCTATGATACTTATCATGCCGGAGGGTTTTGGATTACCACGGTCCAGGGATAAAAACAGCCGAAACGCCTATGTAGCACACCGTTGCCTGCGCTCTCTCAGTACTAGTCTCTCAAGACAGACGCTGTAACAATACCAGCTCGTTCCTCGCTTGTTACAGTCTGTTAGTTACCGCGTCTGATAAGCGGCGGTCGACTTTATCATGTAATGATGGGAGATGCGCAACCAAACAAGCCATTTATTTCACGCGTCTTGGTGTTATTTGACGCGAATTTCGACGTTAGATGGCATGAAAAGGGCTTATAAGTGTCCAGGGATCATAAAAAACCCCAGGGGGGCTTTTATCTAGGTGATTCCCGTGTCAGACACATTCTTCGACCGAATTGGGCGATAAAAGGCTTTAAAAAGGTGAGTTGCCGGTTCCGTTCCAAAATATATCACAGAGAGGGTCAGAGGCGTTGTTTAATAAATTTCAAGCAGCCCAGCGCCCGTTTTTCATGGGATACGTCCTCTAGGCCACCCTTGACGCGTCAAGTCGCGACAATGTAGTAGACATGTGACTTCCCAATCGGGTGCTTATATAATAAGGTCGACCGCCTACTGCGATGGCGTGGTAACCACAGGACTATGGCGGAGTCACGCTAGTGGTTAGCAGCAAATCGGATTCGTCGTTGGCTAAGTGACACCGGCAACTTGAAAGTTGAAACACCGCGACGGTCCGGCCGCGGCCGAATGATGCCGAACTTTGACTGCACCTTGCATCACCTATGTACGCCAATGGACCTAAACAGACTCCACGGTCTCCCTCTCTCAGCAGGCTTCCTGTTTCCCCTGATCAGCCATCGTGTGTTGATCGCGAATCGCCAGCGTTCAAAGCTGGGAGCGACAGCCTGCTTGGAGCCCAGAATCACTCGCGAACCATATGGCGTGGTAACCACAGGACTATCTCCGTACCGTAACATCAAAAACGGCACGACGCGGCGGCCCGACTCCCGCGAGCGGAGATACTCATCATGTCAGAAGATAAAAACAGCTTTTGACAAGTCAACCAGTCCCCTTTTGGACAGGCACAGCCCAGTGACGCGACACCGTCCTGCCCTGCTCCGTTGCCGACACCTCATCTCGGAAATCTATCGCCGTGTCAGAGCTACAAAAGAGTGACTCGGACTCAGACTGCAATCCGACAACATGCCTTTCACCTTCACTAATACTCATGGCGAGCGGTCAGGAGGCTCCAAGTGGAACATACTGCGCAACAAGTCAGCGTTGAAGACTTCAAGTTCTAGCTCTTTTACATCGTATTCCGACCCGCCTCTCCCTAGCGAGATAACGGACCACATCTCTACCGAAATCTACGAGCTCATAATCGACCATCTGCGCGAAGACAAACGGGCGCTTCTGGCATGCAATCTCGTTTCCCGGTCGTGGGTCCCGCGGAGCAAATGCCTTCTGCTGGAATTAATGATCTGCCGTCCGGTGCCTCTGGTTAGCCACGGGGGATTCGGAAAGATCACATGCGCTGTTCCCTACCGCAGAGGTCAGCGGTATAGTACCTTTTGGATATTTCACCAGCTAATGTGGACTCAGGGAGCTCTGACGAGATAATTTATGGGACGACAGACGGTGTGTACCGAGGCTCGAAAGACGGCTCTCGGCCCCGCCTCTTGTCCATCCACGATGTTTCTCAAATTGAGATACTCCCTGACGTCGACCTTTTTTTGTGCCTTGCGGGTATGTACTTAGTGTTTTTTTTTTCTTCTTTTTTTTTCATTCTTCCCGAATCTGGACTGAGCTTTTCGCAGGCGGAGTCTTCCTGACCATGTCTCTCAGCACCCTCAATTCAGGGACTCACCAAGACACCGATGTAAGCCGCATATCCAAGCATGTATCCTTCTTTAGCGTGTATCGGAGCGCAGCCGCGGGGGAAAGCCACCGCGTTTGCGTCCTCAAGAGCTCGTCGTTGTCCGGCACCATCAAAGTGTTCGATGTCACTGTCAGCGCAAATCAACAGCTGATTTCTACGTTGCTAAATGCACAGGTCAGATTAATTTAACCATCCATCCTGGTTATGCTCTGCGTTGCTGAGTGTGATTTCAGGAATTTTACATCCCGCGGGAAACGCACTCAGTTCGGTTCCTCTCCCGGACGAGACTCGCCGCCACGCTCAAGAAGGGGCATGGTGGGTTCGAAATGGTCGATCTCACAACGTTGGAGACTCAGAGTCTGCTGGATCCCGACGATGCGGCTCTCGACTTTGTGCGCAAGAAGGTCAAGCCGATGGCGGTATTCCGGGTGTCCGATGTATTTCTCCTGTGCTATGACAGTGCGTTCCATTGAATACCTTGTTTGCCCCGGTTTAACTACTTACCAGAATGCGGTTTCTACATCGATCGGCGGGGCAGCATGGCGCGAACCGACCAGCTGTTGCGGTGGAATGTTCCCCCCATCGCCTTCGGTGAGCTTCTCAGTGGGAATTTCAATATTTCGTTGACATTAACTCACCGGGCGCAGCACTGCACGAGCCGTATGTGCTTGCGTTTTGCGAGATGCAGGTTGAGGTGTGGAACATAGAAACGATGGAGATGGTGCAGCGAATACGGGGCCCGTATTACCTGCTCAACGCCCCTGAGTCGGGCGAAAAAATACTTGCCCTGTCGCTGTCGTCGGGCGATGTCGTGGAAATGGTGTTCCACGAGCGCGGATTCTAATTGGAGTTTATTTAACATGGACTTTATGGACTTACAGATGGATGGCATGGCCTGAAGGTGTGAACGGTGCGACGTTTCAATGTCCAAACGAATTCCTGGGGATTTAATTTTTTCAACGTCCTGCCAACATGGAAAATCTTTGCTGAGATCTGCTCCGTGCAATGCACCAGACAACGAGTCGCGCCAGTCCTCGATGAAAGTTCCGAGTTGCGTATGTTATTATTTCGTGCGTGCCGTTCCTGCCGTTCCTTGCCGGGAAAGGCGAGAAGCGCCCGAATTAAGCGCTCCGGCTACGACACGCCGTATCTGGCAGGGCAGCCTGGGCAGGCGCCGGCGGGGCATTAGATGTCAAAGATTTAAATTGTAAGTGTATAATCCGTGACGAACTTCGAGTACGGCAGCCGTGATTAGTGGTAGTGCTGTGCGACTTGAATCAACGCGGGTGTATCGAGGCGCCGGCACTAGTGTATTTGGTCGCGGAAGTGCACTGGCTCAAATTTAACTTGCGGGATATGCGATGAAGCAGGAAACTCGAGTGCACCGCAAACGTGAGACGATACCGAGATGCTGGGGAATTGAACTTTTCTGTCAGCATAAATTACGGAAACCGCTGCCGAATATAAGTCAGTTGTCAGCAGGTCGACATTGGAGCGCTGTTGCGCTCATTTATGACATTACGTTGGAGGCCGATACTTATATCTGAACTCCCTTGCAGTTTGATAAGCTCGTTAGTTGGCTCGTACGGTATTGCAGAGTGATGACTCGTGAGC